GCTTGAGCCACATCCCCAGCCCCCGAAAAAATATTTTTAAATGAACTTATTTTGAGCCAAGCATATCCTCCAGATAAAATCTATCACACTTACTTACATTACACAATTGGTAACATTAGTAACTGTCACATTTCCTTTTCATCTAAATCTGTTCTTTTCATTTGCCCGTGTGTACACTGCTAAGAAAAGTAGAGTTCTAGGGAAGAACTAAAAAAATTCAAAACCTCAGAAATATGCCTATTATTTCATTTAACATCTACAAATTTCTCTTGGGGAAATAATTAAAGAAGATGTATGTTCTAATGATTTTACTGCAGAGATGGCTTTTTTAAAAAAATTATGTTTAAATAGTGAAAATTGAAATTCATGAAAACATTTCATAGCAGAATGGTAAGTTCTGGTACATTTACATAATGGATAACTACACAGCCATTAAAACACTGTTCTTCAGTACATATTGGTAAACGAGGAAAAGGTTATATAGCAGTATAATTCCTAGAGTATGACTTCATTTTTATTTTTAAAAATGTATAGATGTGCCAGCAGAGAGTCTAGAAGGGCATATAGCTATAATATCAACAATGTTTGATGCAATTTTCATTACTGCTTTTTACTTAATTATCCTATTTGTTTTCCCCCCAGTACTGGGGATCAAACCTGGGGCCTCACCGATTCTAGGCAAGTAGTCTACCACTTATTGAGCCATATTCCTACCTTAATTATTCTGTCTTTTTTAAAGCCACAAACCTGTGTTTAGTGGTGTAATTTAAAAATTATTTTAAATATACTTCTAAATTTCTATCAACACAACGTTTACTTAACTTTTTTATAGAAAACATGACTTATACAGTATTACAGCTGGATTTTCTTCAACCACTGCAGTCCCACAGAATAAGCGTATTAATGTATCAAATGTACCCACTGCTCTTGTCTCCTATTTTGACCTCTCTTCATCCAGCCCCCCCCCCCCGTTTTTTCCTTTAAAGAACTTCTCTGTCTACCTCCTTCCCTTTAACCTTCTCTTTTGACTTCACCTCTAAGCTTACAGGTGGAACACACTACCACTGATGGATTTCACTTCTAGGTAGGTTACTGATGACATTCAAATACGAAGTATGTAGATTACACACCCTTGGGATCCACATTTATCTTTATCAAAATGAAACATTTTCTCATATTTAAATAAAAACACTAGATATGGTTGAATTCCCTTTTATTCAAGAGGTAGTTATTATCCAAACTTGCATGGTTAGCTTCCTAATGTCTGTATCACTTAAAAATACATGACAGGTTTTCATATACAATTTTTATACAATACTGTGAATAATCTTGCTTCAGTTTCCTTTTTTTGTTTATGTTGTACTTTTGAATTATGCTGCATCTCTAATTTTTAAATTTTAATTGGCATATAGGAATCCTGGTATATAATTTATCCTGCTACTACTATTTTTTTTTTTTTTGTATTGGGGATTAAACCCAGGGGTACTTAAACACTGAGCAACATCCCTAGCATTTTTTGTATTTTGAGACAAGGTCTTGCTAAGCTGCTTAGGGCCTCACTAAATTGTAGAGGCTGGCTTTGAACTCGAGATCTGCCTGCCTCAGCCACCTAAGCTGCTGGGATTTCAGGTATGCACCACCGCACCCAGCTTGCTACTAATTTTTCAATATTTCAAACAATGCAGCACTGAAACTGCTGTTTTCTTTTTCATACAGGATAAAAGTTTTTCTACAGTAGTATTTTTTTTCTTTTTTTTTTTAAAGAGAGAGTGAGAGAGAATTTTTAATATTTATTTTTTAGTTTTCGGCGGACACAACATCTTTGTTGGTATGTGGTGCTGAGGATCGAACCCGGGCCGCACGCATGCCAGGCGAGCGCGCTACCGCTAGCCACATCCCCAGCCCCAATATTTTTCAAAATACTTCTATTATGACCCACAGTTGTGATGTTTCACATCACAAT